ACACACACACACACACACACACACACACACACACACACACACACGTTGCGTTTTACGATTATTACAATACCTAATTAATATAATAGTAATATCGAAATAATAATAATAACTAATATAACTTATTACTCTTAAATTAAAACTGATGCACACATGCACACACACGTTGCGTTTTCCGATTATTACAATACCTAATTAATAGAATAATAATATCTGAATAATAATAATAACTAATATGACTTATTACTCTTAAATTAAAACTAATGCACACATACACACACACGTTGCGTTTTCCGATTATTACAATACCTAATTAATACAATAGTAATATTTAAATAATAATAATAATAATAATAATAATAATAATAATAATAATAATAATAACTAATATAACTTATTACTCTTAAATTAAAACTAATGCACACATACACACACACGTTGCGTTTTACGATTACTATAATACCTAATTAATACAATACTAATATCTAAATAATAATAATAATAACTAATATACAACTTATTACTCTTAAATTACAATAACATCGAGCAGATAAACCGTTCAATATTTCGGGAATACGTGTCAGAAATACCCGTTATAAATAACACTTTGAACAAAAAGCTACAAACGACCAGCAATCTCAAGAATGTGTTACTTTCATATTCGCAATGTTCGAAATTGATTTATCATATATTGGCGATAAATCGTGCACGCGCCTTGTGTGTGTGGTCGAACCGTCTCTGATTTTTTCAGTAAAATTTTCGGCAACGTTACGACACTCGCGTGTCGATAATGAAATATCTGTATAGGAACCTCGAGGTGTCATCGACCAAGGAAATATGATTTTGTTCGTTTTAATTTTCTAACAAACACGAGATAAGCATCGACTTGTTCACAGTTTCGTATCGGAAAACGTTTGTTGTTTCAGTTGAAACAACAAAAAATAAAAATAAAAAATTATTATATATAATACATAATAATAATATAATATAATAATTATATATATTATTATATATTATTATATATATTATTATATATATTATTATATATAATATATATGTATATATATATATATATTAAATTATTATATTATTATATATTAATAATATAATTTTATCCCGAATCGCAGAAATTAGACATCGATTCGCTCGTATCATCCTATCTCCGCACGTGTCGGACGTTTCGTTTTTGTTTTCAGAACACTAAATAAACAACATTCCGACACGGCACCCAAGAGCGTTCCGTTGCCACGTTGGATGAAGAGGAGAGGGAACGACGATTAATCCGAGACCTCAGATGACCTGTTCAAAATGCTTATTTCAAGATTGTGTAATAAACACCTCGTGATGTATCCAGCGGTCAATAAAATGATTCTTATTGTGCTTGTTGACACCGAGAGACGCGTCTACCGTTGATAAGTGCAAACCGCATTCCCGTTCGCCGCCGTATAGAATAATACAAACAAACGTAATCGCGGAAATTCGCCGACAGTTTAAACGGTGTTCGTTCGGGACGTGTCCCGCCCGATCATCGCGATATATAATAGAATTATTAGATCACTTATTCATTCGGCTGCATTTTGTTTGCGTTGCGAGCGTCCACCGGGCAGCCTCCGCATCGATAACTCATTTTTCATCTGACCCCGTTCGCTGGTCCATTCAATTAATATTCCATCGGAAGAACGGCTTCCTACAGTATCGCCTGATCTACACATGTCTAACGACGGCGACGTGTCTTATGGTCGCGGATCTCTTTCAAAAAAAAGACAAACGATCGAAACGAACGATTCATTTTCGTCGTTATCGAGTCACTTATTGTATTAATTCGTCACGATCAATATGTGCGTAGACACGAAAGTTCCTTGAAGATTACTTTTAAAAAGATTTCGAAGCGTTCCTTTATTTGCTCGCGAGAAGTTGCAACTTATTTTGCATTGTAATGTTCGCAAAAATATTATTTATGTCTCGCTTTAACTAGAAATTCGAAAAACGGCGAGACTCGTAGGGCCTTAGTTGCAAATAAAAAAGAAGAAATGAGCGTCGAAATTATCACATTTTCAATGTTAATAAAGTACTTACGACATTTAATAATATTTAATAATAATTAATAATAGTTAACTATACATATAGTTATAATAATAATTATAACGAAAATATGGAGACCGAATTGGAAATATTGAAAACATTTGAAGAATCTTAAAACAATGTTACATTATTTCCGACTGATTAAAATAATTCAGAAGAAAAATAAATATCTATGTATCTATGTAAATATCTGTCTATTATTAATAATAGTTAACTATAAATATAGTTGTAATAATAATTATAACGAAAATATGGAGGTCGAATTGGAAATGTTAAAAACATTTGAAGAATCTTAAAACAATGTTACATTATTTTCGACTGATTAAAATAATTCAGAAGAAAAATAAATATCTATGTATCTATGTAAATATCTGTCTATTATTAATAATAGTTAACTATAAATATAGTTATAATAATAATTATAACGAAAATATGGAGACCGAATTGGAAATATTGAAAACATTTGAAGAATCTTAAAACAATGTTACATTATTTCCGACTGATTAAAATAATTCAGAAGAAAAATAAATATCTATGTATCTATGTAAATATCTGTCTATTATTAATAATAATTAATAACAGTTATCTATAAATATAGTTATAATAATAATTATAACGAAAATATGGAGACCGAATTGGAAATATTGAAAACATTTGAAGAATCTTAAAACAATGTTACATTATTTCCGACTGATTAAAATAATTCAGAAGAAAAATGAATGTCCGCATAGCTTCTGTATTATGCAATTAACGGCGACAATCTTTAATTTTGCATAAAAATCCGCGATCTACCGACAAGATCCTCTTCTATTTGTCGTTCCGATCGTTATATTTGCAAGAATTTTTTACCGATTGCCTAAAGAACAAGTCTTAACGTTAAAAAAAAAATTCAGAATTAGAAAAGTTAGGTTAGAATTTTAGAAAAGTCACTACAATTTCGAAACCCTGTGCGTATATATTTGTCCACGACGACGGTACATAGCAGATGTGCTCGAGGAAACGCGAGAAAACGAATGTTTGCCACGTTTCGGTGATTTTCGACCGCGGCGCGCCGCGTCCACGTAAAAATTCCACCGGGCACGGCGCGGCGGAAGGACATCTTGGCCGATTCAACGTATCGCCGAGAAGCAAATTGTTTATAGCGTGTCGGCGGCGCGAGCTGCGCGCGATACGTATTAATTAAAAATCCACACAGTTTCTGTCGGAGTGTCGAAACATTTTGCACGCCATTAATATAAAAGCACGGCGCGGTGGCCGCGGCGATGCGCGCGCGCGCGCGCTCCCGAGGCCCGCACACGCTCACGTGCCAACAAAGTTACTCTAATTAATGGCAACACGTTCGGTATTGTATAATTCTGTTTACGGCGGTGGCCTCGTGCATGCATCATGCGGCCCCCGCGCGTACCAATTCCTACGGCCGATTGTTAAGTTCCATTTATTGGAATGTAACACTCGAGTGAATGCGTCAGGGGGTGAAAACGCTTTTTAATACGATGAATAATCTGTGCGAATTGTCGCGCGCCGCTCAATAAACGCAATGTCATCAATCAGAGTATACCGCGCGTAATATTAATTTCCCAGATGATTCCGGCGATGGCCCCGGATAAAATTAAACCGAAACGCGATTTTTCTATCGGCGGGAAGTTGTGATACACGGCGGAACGATGTGTCCGACTGTGACCTGAATATTTTAACGTCCGCATAATGGGGGATCGTTCGTTTAGCAAACTATGCTGGATGTCCCAATTACTGTCACTGGCCCTGTAACTATTATTTCTATTATTTCAGTTAATAGCGAAATTCGTTTAATTCTTGTGAAATGTTTAATGAGTAAATAGTTAAATGTTAAGTATTTCATTTAATATTTCACTTAATAGTGAAATTTTTTTAATTATTGTGAAATATTTAGTAAGTAAATAACTGAATGTTAAGTGTTTCATTTAATATTTCACTTAATAGTGAAAGTCGTTTAATTATCGTGAAATATTTAATAAGTAAATAACTAAATGTTAAGTATTTTTCATCTAATATTTCACTTAATTGTGAAATTCATTTAATTATTGTGAAATATTTAATAAGTAAATAACTAAATGTTAATTATTTCATTTAATATTTCACTTAATAGTGAAAGTCGTTTAATTATCGTGAAATATTTAATAAGTAAATAACTAAATGTTAAGTATTTTTCATCTAATATTTCACTTAATTGTGAAATTCATTTAATTATTGTGAAATATTTAATAAGTAAATAACTAAATGTTAATTATTTCATTTAATATTTCACTTAATAGTGAAAGTCGTTTAATTATCGTGAAATATTTAATAAGTAAATAACTAAATGTTAAGTATTTTTCATCTAATATTTCACTTAATTGTGAAATTCATTTAATTATTGTGAAATATTTAATAAGTAAATAACTAAATGTTAATTATTTCATTTAATATTTCACTTAATAGTGAAAGTCGTTTAATTATCGTGAAATATTTAATAAGTAAATAACTAAATGTTAAGTATTTTTCATCTAATATTTCACTTAATTGTGAAATTCATTTAATTATTGTGAAATATTTAATAAGTAAATAACTAAATGTTAATTATTTCATTTAATATTTCACTTAATAGTGAAAGTCGTTTAATTATCGTGAAATATTTAATAAGTAAATAACTAAATGTTAAGTATTTTTCATCTAATATTTCACTTAATTGTGAAATTCATTTAATTATTGTGAAATATTTAATAAGTAAATAACTAAATGTTAATTATTTCATTTAATATTTCACTTAATAGTGAAAGTCGTTTAATTATCGTGAAATATTTAATAAGTAAATAACTAAATGTTAAGTATTTTTCATCTAATATTTCACTTAATTGTGAAATTCATTTAATTATTGTGAAATATTTAATAAGTAAATAACTAAATGTTAATTATTTCATTTAATATTTCACTTAATAGTGAAAGTCGTTTAATNGTTAGGCTTGCACCCTGTTTTAGGTAATAATAGGGAAACGTTGCATGCTTATATTTATAAATTAATAATTAAACGGTGATTTTATTATTAGCTTGTCAAGATGAAAATGTTATAATGCAAAATGTGTGGTAATTTTACTATTCATCTAGTAGCTCCTGCAAAAATATGAATTAATAATACATAAACTTAGTTTTATTTATTTAGTTATATTATAATTTAGTTATATTTATATACTGTTTGTGACAGTTGTCTGTTCCCTGGCAGTAACAGAAACATTGCACTTCCTTATAAATTATCAATTAATTGATAATCAATGCATAATATTTACTATATAAACGAATGTTCTTTAACAAAAGAGATCTTAGGCATTATTATGCTGCAAATTGAAATAATCAACTGAAGTTGATGAGAGCTTAAGAGTTCGCAGTAATTGGGACATCTGCCCTATATCTAATTACAGAGGCTCGCGAAAGTTTTCGAGCGCCTTCTCAAATGGAATAACTTCTCCAAAAGTGAACAAAATGACTAGAATTTTTTAAAAAAATTCCAAGGTAACTTAATTTGCCAGACAACGTTGAAAAGAAATCTGTCCAAAATCGCAATTAGTTGGAATGAAGGAAAATTAAAAAAAATTCTCGTTTCCGAACTTTTTTATCCGAGCCCGAAATGAAAATTTAGAAAATGGCGTTCCGTAGGTCTCGACGATTCACGTGCACGACAAAAATTTCGTCAAAAACAGAGATCCATAAAGCGCATTGTTTAAATGTTCGTTTTGGGCTCAGACGAAACGGTTGGAAAAGGCGAGTTTTACATTTCCTTTTCATTACGACTGATTGCAATTTTTGGACGTTGTCTTCATGACATTTGCGAAATTTAAATCGTTTGGACCACTTTTTAAAAAGTTGTAAAAAGTTGAATTGCGCAACTTAAGAACATAAGAATGTTGTCGTATCATACTATCTTCAGCCTATTAAAATCATTAGGAACGAGATACATTTTTAAATGGATACATTTGATTGAAAATTTGTATTTTCTTAAATGTTCTGCCTTTTCCGAATATGTTTTACTAATGAAACCTTGACAAAAACAGATCATAATGCAAAGGTTGACGAATTAGCCGCACGATGGAAAGTGACTCGGTTCACGGTTAGGATGATGTACAAATCTATGGCAGCGTTTTTTCTCTAATAAAAATATGAAAATAACGTGAAAAATGTGCTTCGCAAGTTTTAAAGATGGCACAGTAAAAGCTCGATTTTAATTAGAAAATTACAGAGTTTTAAGTAGAACTATCCGATGCTGGAATTTTCTGTCACCTAAATACCTTTCTCATTATGTACAGT